AAACCTACCAGAACCTACCCTTTTTTTTAATTAGGGTCCCTATAAACTCCATATTTGGGGTTTATAATAAGAACCTGCAAAAAACTCGGTTTTCGTGGACTAAGGTATCATTTCGAAACAGTTTTCATCAAGAAGTATGGGGCTGCCTGAGTAAACTCTAGCGTTTAGAGTAAGATTCTCCAGCCACTTGCTTACGGGGCCTCAGAAGCAAAGGCAGACGTAATCCTATGTTTGTATGTTTCCCTATTCTTTGCAGGTGCTGTCAGCGAGGGAATGCCCTTTCTTATCACCAGGTCCTTACAACAGAACAATGAGAACCTCCTCATGGAACTGCTAACAAACTGGGAAGTCATGTGTGCAGTTTGACATCAAGAGGGTCGCTTAGCGCACTCTTGCTTTTAAGATTTGGCAAGCATAAGTCTACCTGTACAGTCTGTTGACACTCAGCCATAAACCCTATGGACTTATACTAGTTCTAGAACCTGGAACCTAAACCCTATAGTGACTCGAACTCGCATGACTCACGAGACCTTGACAAGTAGCCTCTGCTAGAAGTCGGTGCGTTGCACTGGCATGAAGGCAAAAAACACGTTATGGCTTAAACCCCTCGTGTAGTTCGAGAATACTGGCAGGAATTCATGCCGACTTGTGTCTGCCTTTCTGCACTGATGTTGATGATTGCTAACCTGTTTTCCTCGTGGTCAAGCTTTAGAGCTGGACTCCCCAAATGATATATATATATATATATTATAGTATATTGAAGGGATCGTAGGGAGGGTGTTTGCTCGTTCCTGTGTCGAGGATTCAGACACATTCGTGGTATCTGCTGCTGCCCCGACAAACCCCGAACTCCTAAAAGCCTATCCCGCTCCCTACAGCCCAAACCTGCAGCCCAAACAACAAGCCCATTTCCACGCGCAAAGCTGAAGAAGGAGTTACTACAAATCAGGTCTTGATTCCAGTCCGTTGTAACATGGGGTCTTGGCTTTAGGGTTTAGGTGTACGGTTTAGAGCCAACGCTTTAGGCATTTAGCCTTGGTCGGCAGTGCGCAAGACCAAAGCATTCCTGCTATAGGGACTTGTACGATTAGTCATATCATGTTTAGCATTGTTCCTGGATGTATAGTTTAGAAACCCAAACAAGACAACTTAAGTTTGATTGTTCAGGCCCTGACCCTTCAAGCCCTGTAAAACCAGCTTACGTACCCGCATAGAAACCCTTGTAAACTCATACAGCCCTACTGTATGCTACGCTCCTAGAGTGTCTTTGAAGCTGAGGTGGTGGTGACCTCCATGATGCTAGTGTAACTCGGTGGCTTTTTTTAGCTGCAGGCTTGGGCTTTACGGGTTTTGGGTATCTCTGCGGGCCCGCGTAACTTAGAAGGAACCATGTTCGGATAGGTTCGTTGGAGGTACTTACATGGAGGAGAGGGCTTGAGTTTGGAATTTGCGCATTCGAACGATAGTCTGCCGGGACTCGGCCAGCCCAAACTCAAAGTTCTACCGAAAGTGTCCATGGCATATAGTTCCTTTTTGTTTGACTGTTTTTTCGGATCCTATAAGGTAACACCAAAAAATGAACTACAATGGAGACTATAGGTAATCTCCAATGAAGCGAAGGAGTATTGCAGTTGCGTGTTTCTGGACCTATGGAAGCTCTAGTGCCACATGCTGTGGAACATACCTCGTTCACACTACTTTCGCCTTGCCGCCGTTTGCTTCTTTGTGCAATGTGATCAGAGGGCCATTTCTGTGATGGAGGTTGTGGCGGTAACCCCAGACAGCGATTGACTTACTGACCTGCTGTGCTCGTCAATATAGTTACTATGCAACGACGAAACAAAGATCCTTACCCTGACCCTAAACCCTAAACCCTAAACCGCACTACCGTCAACCTTCAAGTCCGCACAGGTGCAAAGTGCACAATCGGAAATTGGAGCTCGCATACAAGATGTGTTCAGTTAAACTCTATATACACACTCTAATGCAAGCTTGTCAAACCTCAAATCCCTAAACGCCGAGGCTAAACTCTACACAGCTCTGCAAGATTTCTGGCCCCAAATCCCTAAGCCCTGAACCTTGAGGGTGGCCTTCTGCGTGATGATCTGCTCCTTGAACCTCCAGGGCTACATGGACACACCGGCGACTTCTTTCGAGAAGGCTGGCCGTGCTTGAGAGACTCTACATAGGGTCTAGGCTTTGAGGTTTAAGGTTTAGAGTTTCGGTCTTAGGGTTTAGGATTTACGGTTTGGGGTTTAAGGTTTAGGGTTGATGGTTTAGGCTTGAGGGTTCAAATCTTAAGGTTTGCGCTTTTTGGTGTTCGAGGAACTTTTACAGTGTCGCCCCGCCCCCCCCCCCCATAATAAGATAGCCTTATGCCCTTTTCGTCTGGTGCAGCCTTATCAGACCTCTTGGGCTTGGGATTTTGGGCTTGGGGTTTTGAGGGGTCTGGACGAATGTGAAGTGGAAGGTCGGTATAAAGCAACCGAACTGAAACTGCCCTTATAATCCCGTTATAGGTCTCCTAAGTTAGGTGCCCGGGTAGTAACTGTGGCTTGGAATTGTGGGGCAGCTACCTTGAGCTACAACCCCCAATACTCCAAACCAAGCTAGCTCGCAAAATGCCCACGCCTTAAAGCTTAAGTCTTCGAACTTTGACAAGCCTCCCTGGCTGTCAGCTTTTCTACATTCCTCGCCTGGCGCGCCTGGCACATCCGGGCGCGATCTTCGATCCGAATCAGACAGACACATCAGATGAATTGAGCTTCTCCAGCTTCGGGCTCGCGGGCTGAACAGGTCGGGTCTATCTTGGGTAAAAATGGGCCTCCGGAACAATTCGTAACAGTTTATTACTGTACACTTACTGTTAAATATACCCCTAAATCCCTAAACCCCTGAACCCCTAAACCTTAAGCCCAACAAGACGGCTTTTAATTGCTAATGACCCTCAAAAAAGCTACCTGTCAGGATGGCCCCGCAGCCGAAACCCTGAGCTCCCAAGCTTCCCTTCACCTTTTACGGTCTTAGGGTTTAGGGTCTTAGGGCCTTTTAGAGTTTAGGGTTTTACGGTTTTAGGGCTTAGGGTTTAGGGTCTTAGGGCGTCTTCGGGTTTAGGGTTTTGTAGTTTAGGGTCTTAGACTTTAGGGTGAAATAGCAGCCCATAAAGACCCTCGAATTCCGGAACCGGTCTTGGAGCCTCTTCGGGCTTAGGGGCTTGGGGTTTAGGGTCTTAGGGTTTAGGGTCTTAGGGTTTTAGGGTTTAGGGCTTTAGGGTTTAGGGTTAAGGGTTTAGGGTTTAGGGTCTTAGGGCGTCTTAGGGTGTTGGGCGTCTGTAGCCCAGTACCCCATTATTTAGAGCACAGGAGCTCAAGGGCCCCCTGACATCGCAGTCCTAAGCCCAGACCGAAAGCCCTACCTGGACCCCTGAAGTACATAGAATAATGATTGAATTGTGGCCTTTTTACAGGTGTTGGGTGCCATTGTTTTACCTGGTTTTGGGAGTTCAGGCAAATATTAAATTTTATCCCGCGAAACCCTAAATACCTCTCCTCCCCCTGTAAGGCCCTACACTTCGCAATCATTTTTCTTGCGCGGACTTTCGCTCCGAAGCGTTCATGCACAGCTGAGCTCTGAATTGCAGCTCAGCTAGAACAAGTACGTATACTACAAGTAGAAGAAGAATCAGCAGCTCGTATGTGTATATTTCTATGTATACTGTTCTTGTTTACGTATATCCTCACAATAAGAGAACTATGGTCTTCTTGTTCGTTGCGGCTTCCTGTGATTTATGATTACGAGGAACGCTGGCTTAAAACCCTTCGAGCCCTGAATTTGTAGTCTGAAGAGTTACCAGTACTAGTCATGAGCTGCGTTCTAGTCCCTATTTAGTGAGTGATGTTTTTAACCTACCCCAAAACCCTTGTCCAAGTGTTAAGATCCCTTGCATCAGATCTCGTAGAGCCCTGATAGTCGCCCTTGTAGAACCATTCTTCTTCAAGGAACCCTGCTTTGAGCACTTTGAGCCCTGTGTGTTATCCCTGGTCCGTGCTAGGGCAAACTAATTCGAACCACCAAACCTTCATCGTCAGCTGAGGCTGCGGAATCCTAAACCGCAAACCTTAGCTTTAGGGCCCAAGCCCTACACCCCAAACTAAACTCCAAACCTAAAGCCCAGGAGTACTTTGGAATCATGTCGATGGGACCTGTGGTGCTGCACGTCACTGCGGCTCTGCCCACGTGGGCTTTGGGTTTAGGTTTAGGGGTTTAGGGTGGATTTTGGTTTCGTCTGTCGTCCTTGAACATGTTGGAGTGAAGGTTTCAGATATTTGGGATCCGATTGTGCTACCAATATTCAAACGCATCCAAGGCCAGAGTCAGGATACTACTTGGGCTTTAGGTTTTAGGGTTTAGGGTTTAGGGTTTTAACTCCACTGGCTATGGTTGTAGCATGATGTAGCATGGATGAGCCCTCTCATGTCTTCACGTCTCATCCTCAATCAAGACGGCGCAGTTCCGAAACACGCTTTGTTAACCCTAAACCCTAAACCCTAAATCCTAAACCCTAAAACCTCTGATTTGACTAGGACACGAGGCTCCCCGGGCAATGATTTTAGGGTTCCGGTTTCAGGCTCTAGGGTCGAGGGTCACCTGAGGCCACCGCGTTCTTGTTAAGGAGTTATAAAAGCTTCAGAAATTTGAGTTACCATGGTAGGGATCTTTGGTAAATAATCGGGTTTCCTTATGATGGTAACTTAAAATTATCGTCTCATCAACAAGAGCCCAGGCCATTATGCACCAAAGTTAGTCTCCCCAACAAGAGCCCAGGCCATTATGCACTAAAGTTATTCTCCCCAACAAGAGCCCAGGCCAACATGCACTAAAGTTAGTCTCCCCAACAAGAGCCCAGGCCATTATGCACTAAAGTTAGTCTCCCCAACAAGAGCCCAGGCCATTATGCACTAAAGTTATTCTCCCCAACAAGAGCCCAGGCCATTATGCACATGAACAAGTTCTACCGCTCTGTTGCCCAGTGGCTCACCGAGCTGGAAAACCACGAGCCCGGGCCTCTCAGAGGTGACCCAAGAGGGTTTCGCGTTCGGGGTTTTGGGGGTTTTGGTGGCTTAGGGGGGGGGCTTAGGGCGGTTTAGGGTTTGGGGTTTCGGAATGAGGGTTTGGGGGGGTTGAGGGCTTGGGCTTCAGGAATTGTGAGGGCCAACAAGAACGTGAACTTCAAGTATTGAAGCCTGCCGTTTTTGTACACAACACCTTCTGGCTATGTGATTGTTACATTGTTGTGGCTCGTGGGGAAAAGCCTCATGTTGCAGGATTCGGGGTTGGGGTTTTAGGGTTTGGGGTTTTGGGGTGAGAGGTTTGGTGGAGGACCACGCAATGTTCAGCTTGCGGCCCAGTGCTTTTGTATATGAGATGGTTGTGTTTTGGCCTGGGGCGTCTGGGGAAAGGGTGCACAGGACCGTATTGCGGCTTCCTCCCAACATTACGAGAACGGGAACACATGCGGAACTAGCAGTCACAGAGAAAGCCCTTTTGCGGGGTGTTTTACCTTTGTTTGGAGTGCATACACAGCCCCTCCGCGAAGCAAAGATATCCTGCAATATCACCGGCGACCATCTTGGAAATTCGATTCTGTATCGAATCTCGAAAAAGTTTTGGTACTCTTAGGGTAGACACCGTGTTTATTCACCTCTGTGTAGCGAGGCTTGTCACTGCGCATCAGAGCTCACTGATTGCAAAGAGGCCGGATTGCAAGCCCGTGCTCATGCAGAGTAAAACTGATTTTTACTGCAGCTAGGTTCAGAGCCCTAAACCCTAAACCCTGAATCTGGCTTTTACTGCAGCTACCCTAAACCCTACACCCTAAACCCAAAACCCTAGGTTCAGACAGTGATGGGCAATTCTAAGAATGCCGTGGCTGTTGTCATGCTTTCGGGCACTGGAAGGCTTGGGCTGGCGACCCCAGCGTGCCCCAGCATTTGGGTAGTTAGGGTTTAGGGTTTAGGGGTTTAGGGTTTAGGGTTTACGGGTTTAGGGTTTAGGGTCAATTAGTCCCTGTTTTGGTATCCAATATAGTACGGCACCCTTTTAGAAGGGGCCCTAAAAGGGACCCTAACATAGAAAACTACCCGAATAGACCCTGATAGTACCCCTATAGAAACCCTGATAAATCCCCTTAAGCAACTTATAGCCCAAATTGAATAATCCTAAGCCCTAAACCCTAACCCCTAAACCCTCAACCCTAAACCCCTAAGCCCTAAACCCTAAACCCTAAACCCCCAAACCCTCAACCTTAACCCCTAAGCCCTAAACCCTAAACCCCTAAGCCCTAAACCCTAAACCCCCTTTGGGCTTCCTTGGCCAGGTTCGTCTTTGAGGCCTTCGACTGCTACATCGCATTGTTCTATGTGGGCTTCGTTCAGCAGGACATCCGACATGTTCACCGAGTTTAGGGTTTTTGGTTTAGGGTTTTGGGTTTCGTGTTTTGTGTTTAGGGTTTTGAGTTTAGGGGGTTTTGGGTTTAGGGTTTTGAGTTTGGGGTCTTGGGGCTTGGTGGAGCAATGTCGTCAACTCCTATCCCCCAACCCCCACAACCCTAAACCTTAAACGAGGTTGCCTCTGCGTCGGGAGTTGGCCCAAACTGGGCTTCCCATGATGGCGTCGTTGGGCACGACGTGATTTTGCTTGGATGAAGTTGCAACCTTGCCAAAATCACCCAACCAAACGGTCTGAGCGCGAGTCACCGCAACACAGACCCTAAACATCCCTATAAACCCTAAGCCCCAAAACCTTAAAAACCCTAAGCCCTAAACCCTAAGCCTTACATAGGACCCTCTGGCTTGCGGGGTCCCAGTTCCTAGAACTTTACGACTTCCGGGTCCTCCGTGTTCCTTGTAAAGACATCCTTGATGAAAGCCTAACGCCTAAGCCTACTTAAAGGCCCATGGGACTTAGTAATTAGGGTTATAAATAAGATAACTTTACTAATCAACCCAATTACGTACTTCTCACTGTACTCATGAACCTCCAAGTACACCCTACCCCTGTATAAAGCCCTAAGCCTCGAAATGCCTATAAACCCCAGACGCCGGGACCCCTACGAGCTCTTCATAAAGCCTACACGTTACAGCGAATGCAGGACATCCGGAAGCTGCGTAACGAGCTGATCTGCCTCTATGGCGTAGACAGCATCAGAAGAGCCTCCTGGACATCAACTACCCTAATGAGTTACCTAAACTGCCCCAAGTCTCTATGAGGTTTAGGTTTGAGTGTAGGGTTTAGGGTTTAGGGTACTATGAGGGTTGTATGCCCTAGGGCTCCAAGTATACAAATAATACCTTCCTTAGGGTCTAAAGTCTGTCAATAGTATCTACTTTGGGCTATTTGGAGCCCCAGGGTAAGAGTTACCTAAAACCGCCCAAAGTAGAAAACATAGTGGCCCAGTACCTCTAAAGGGCTATTCGTCTGCATGCTTTGGGATCCAGGTAGCGGCATCAAGCGCGTTGCTGGGTTATGGGTACCATCTATTATTATTCTTATGATGCAGTACACCCTAAATCTACAGTCTGAACTGGTTTAAAGGGGCAGTAACCTGCCATCTCAGCACATGGCGTAGGGCAGGGCCTTTCGATGCTTTCTGGTCGCTCTTGTAGATCTAGGGGTGGCAGCTTTTAGGCCTTGCAAGGGCTCTGCGGGCTCGTTTGTGCCGGGTCCGGGCATGTATGGCCTTCAGGACGTGCAGGGTTTTTGAAGTTTCAGATATAGTGCTTGTTGGACTTATAGGGTCTAGGTTTCAGAGGTTCCAGGCTGTCGCCAGTCAAGGTTTTTCGGAGGCCAGCAAGCCCGGATATGGTGTCCTGCGGATCTATCGTGGAGGGTTCCGAGCTTCCTAAACCCTAAACCCTCAACCCTAAACCCTAAACCCTAAACCCTAAGAGCAAGTTGGACTTGGTTGCAGCGCCGAAACCCCCATAGAACCTAGCCAGCTGCTTCCTCCTGGAAGGCCTGGAAATAGGCAGGCCATAGTCGTTTGAGGGCAGTAGGGTGTCGGGCTGCGCTGCTTCAGAGTTTTTCAAGGTCCTGGCCGTCAAAAGCTACATCTACCCGATAGTGCACACAAAGTAGTAGCCCCCTCCGTATAGGTAAGGGGGGCACAGGGCCCCGAGTTGAATATACCGGTCGGAGTAGTACTATCCCTTGACACTCATTATAAACTTCTACACGGCCTAAGATAGTGGACCTAGTCTAATTATTGAGGCCCTGTCGTAACCCTATAGGGTCCCATGATTACAAGACTTTACAAGACCCTGCGAAACCCCACAAGGCCCCGCTCATGTTGATTAATGCTCGCACTCCGAGGTCTTCGTGGAGAGTGTCCTCCCACTTGCCCGGAGCCCTGCTATTGTTGGTGTTGTTTTTGTTGTTGCAATTGTGAGGTGCTGGGCCTAAGGGTTAAGGACTCATGATTTGAGGTTTGGGGCGCTAATAAGGCTGTTGGGCTAGTTTGAAGTTTATACTGTAAGGCTTAAGAGAGGCTGAAACAAACCAGGTCTTGTCAAGACGGAGATCTCCCAGCGGATGCACATCGCACCCCACCCAGGTTTAGCGAACAATCCCGATTGTCGTGGTCGAGCTGCAGGAAAGCAGGCATAGACCCTAAACCCTAAACCCTAAACCCTAAACCCTAAACCCTAAACCCTAAACCCTAACCCTAGAACACTCCAGCAGAATTACCCTACTGCCCCAGAAGCCAAAAGGCGAAACGGAAAGCCTTAAGTACGCCTGAAGTCTCAAACGCTCCGTTCCTTAAGCTTCAAACTCAACGCCACCAATCTTAGCCCTGAACCTCAAGCCCGAGAAACATCCCAACAAAAACTTAAAGCCCTCCCTAAACCGCAAGCCCCCTCACAAAAACGGAGATCCTGGACCTTATTACGCCTTAGCCGCTTATAACCCTAGACCCCCAAACCCCTAAACCCTAAACCCCTAAACCGCTAAACCCTAAACCCTAGACTCCTAAACCCTAAAACCCTAAACCCCTAAACTCCTAAACCCTAAATCCCTAGACCCCTAAACCCCTACACCCCAAGCCCTGAACCCATCAACCCTACCCCTAAACCCTAAGCCCTGGCCCAAGAGCCTGGGACATGCCCTTGCCTCAGAAACCCTAAACCCTAAACCCTAAACCCTAAACCCTAGACCAGGTCTTGGATCGCATCAGCAGGTATCGGCTCAGCCGCAGAGCCTTCCGGCTGCGAGCATCGGATTCCTGATAGGAGGGTGGAGGGTTTAGTGATTTAGGGGTTTAGGGCTTTAGGGTTTAGGGTTTAGGCATTTAGGGGTTTAGAAATTTAGGGATTTAGGGGTTTAGGGTTTAGGGTTCAGGGATTTAGGGGGTTTAGGGTTAAGCCCCACAAGCCCCAAGCGAACCTTAACCCCCTAAAGCCTAAACCCCTAAAGCCTAAACCCTAAAGCCCTAAACCCCGAAACCCCAAACCCCAGCTTGAAATCACAAGGTGCCAGGCAGGCAGGACTCCGGGTTGAAACGTTCTCTTTCCACAGCTGCCGGGTCTCCGTGGCGCTACCTGAAGAACCCAAAACCTACCTTTTTGTAGGGTCCTTATAAATCCCATATTGGGGTTTATAATAAGAACCTACAAAAGAAGTGGGTTTTGGGTTCTTAAGGTAGGTGTAGCCCTGCTCACGACCCGACTCAGCCTTCGTCACGGTTTAGGGCTCCAAGTATTCAAAGAGTGGATAGTGTAGGGTCTAAAATCTACAAAACATGCCTATGTTGGACGTTTCAGGATAATCTTTGGCAGTTTGCTATCTGAAGTATCATTCCCTGTGCGGACCTTCAAAGTTGCCCTATCTGGCTCCTAAAGCCTCTCGGAAGCCCAGCAGTTGGCAATCGGGCCAAGGGCGCGAGCCACAAACCCAGGGCTCAAAGCCTTTAAAGGCGGGCGGCTGTTCAGCACGCTATAGCTTTAGACAAAATAAGCAAAACAAGCCCTAAACCCTAAACCCCCTAAGCCTGAAACCCTAAACCCGGAAGCCCTAAACCCTATAACTCCTAAACCTAAACCTACGCAGACAGAGACCCGGAGCAGGAGCAGAGGCTCCAACAGCGAGAAAGCTCTAGCGATTTTCGGAAAGCTGTAATCCGAATTTGGGACGTCACCTAGAGTCTCCATTGTAGTTCCTTTTTGGGGTTACCTCATAGGATCGGTGGTTAACCCAGAAAGGGAACGACGATGCCAGAGGTGGTGTTGCGGGTGTGGGGTTTAGGCTCATGTCCTCCCAGGTGTTCTATGCTCGAGGCGCTTGCAGGTACTTCAGAACTAGCACAAGTTGGAGCTTTCTCAGCTTCCAAGCCTGAAGCCCTTAAACCCTAAAGCCCTAAACCCCCAAGCCCTTAAACCCTAAAGCCCAAAGCCCCTAAGCCCTAAACCCCTAAACCCCTTAACCTCCAAACCCTTAAACCCTAAAGCTCTAAAGCCCGCCGAAACTCCAAAGCAAAGGCTGCAGAGCTCAAGAGGCTCGCGGGTTCATGGTACGGTAAATGTGATTTAGGCCTCATGGGGTTTAGGGATTTGGATTTTGCGTTTAGTCATTTGGGTTCGGGGTTGGTTTAGGCTTCATGGGGTTTAGGGATTTGGGTTCAGGGTTTGGGGTTTTGGGGCGGGGTTTATGGAATCTTATCTGCCTGTAGCTCTTATGACAAGTACTGGTATTGCATACTACACCCAACACCACAATCTAACCACAATCTAGCTTCTCAGACTGCGAGCGAAGCACGCGAGGTTTCATGGGTATGTTGTAAGACCCTAAACCTTGAACCCTGCACCCGATCCCGAAACCCTATACTCTACACCCTAAACCCTACACCCTGCACCCTAAACCCTAAAAGCACTATAAACCCTAAACCCTATAAGCCCTATAAACAGGGACCCTAAACCCTGAACCCTGAACCCCAAGCCTCAGGCTTCCGGAGTGGTGGGTCTCTCCCCCCTTAGGCAAAATGGGTCACAGGGACCCAGACCCTCCTTGCACCCTCAAAGTCGGTTTAGAGTTTACGGTTTAGGGGTTAGGTTTTTAAAGTTTAGGGTTAGCGTTTATGGTTTAGAGTTTAGGGTTTAGAGTTCCAGGTTTAGAGTTTAGGGTTTTAGAGTTTAGGGTTTAGGGTTTAAGGCCGCGAAGGGTAGGTAGCTTAGGGTCGCATAGTGGGCAGATGGAGGCGGTCCGGGGATAGGAAGGAGACTTTCTTGCAGCATAGTTGCCCTCACCCTGTTTATCGCATACATGCTTCTATGCCCCAAAGATAACTCCATTGTAGTTCCTTTTTTGGTTAACCAGTTTTATGTTTAGGATCCTTTAATATATCGTTGGATAACCAAAACAAGCAACTACAATGGAGAGTATAGGTATATAAAATACCACAAAGTTAGACATCCGGGCAGCCCAAACTCTACTTCTCAAGCCTTTCGGGCCACGAGCAAAGGGCCTCCCCCAAGGGTTTAGGGTTCAGGGTTTAGGGTATAGGGTTTCGGGTGTAGGGTTTACGGTGTATTGTATAGGGTTTAGGGTATAGGGTTCAGGGTTTAGGGTTTACCTTGCAGCCTACGCCTGCAGCTCCGCAGAATTTTGTTCTCACGTTCCAGCGCCATACAGGCCTTGAGGGAGGTCACATGCGAGTGATGATGCGATCCTTCGTCCTGACGAACCTACTTCTCTGTGTGCTCGGCCAAAGCGCGCCCGAGTGCCAAGGGGAGCAGGGCAACTTGGAGGCATCAAGACGTTCCGGCTTTACATTGGGAGGTGTCACGTGTATACACTAGTACCTATATGGTTGCGGGCGCCTAATTCCACATCGGTAGTCCATATAGACTCTCCGATACGTCATACATACGACATGTTGACCTGTCAGCTGCAGACACATACGTTCTAGGGAGGTTTGGGCTTCAGGTTGTGGGGATGTCTCGGTCGGGGGTGCGGGGCTATGATTATTTCCACGTCCTCACGCCCGTTAAAAATATGTTACAATTAAAGTCTATTATACAGTATGTGGGTGGGTGGGTGCCCACACCTTGACCCTAGAAAACCTACCCTTCTAGGATCTGTTGTTATGACTTCCTTCTATATAAGTCCTTGAACGGGAGGCTACTTTTGGGGTGAAGGTAGGCCTACAGCCCCCAAAACGGCTCCCTAGAAGAAGAACCCCCCAAGAAAGCGGGATCTTTTGTAATATCGACCTGTGAAGAGGGAACCCGTAATGTGCAGAATCTCTCCCGGCCTTGGCGGCTGTCATGTTATCACAACTGTCGTCGCTGCGGCACAATAGGTCGGAAGCCAGCTTGCTTTTGCTTTTTGCGAGTCTTCACCGTGTGTGCTTTTGCTAAGTCTACAGGAGTCTCAGTGACACTTGCCGCGCAGCATGCTTTCCTTAAGGGTCCAAGTAGTCCTTATTTATGGTTGGACACAGGTCCCCAAAAAGGCCCCAGAGTCCTTAAATAATGGGTACTTGGACCCTTAAGCTTTCTGAGTCTATAATTGTTGGGGCTTGAGTAGACGCCCCTCTGAGCTGCAAGTTTGCCAGGTCAGAGTGTCATATCTTTCTTGCTTCTATTACGTCTTCTGGAAGAAGATGAGGAGCCTTTTGAAATCGTTCTACAATACCCATAGCCCCATAGTAGTTCCTTTTTGGGGATATGAACCCCCAAAAAGGGACTACTATGGGGCCTACGGGTACCCCTCCGAGGAAGCTGCGCTGTCGACCAGGGTACAGCCACGGGCCCCGGCGCCAACAAAGGATTAACCTTGCTGCAGGCCGGGTCAGGTCGCGTATGGGTTTAGGGTTTAGGGTTTAGGGTTTAGGGTTTAGGGTTTAGGGTTTAGGGTTTAGGGTTTAGGGTTTAGGGGGTTTAGGAGTAAACGGGTCGACAGCTTCAGTTCGAAGAGTCTTTGCATCGAGCTCGACGCTGCCCCTACCTAGACCCAAGAATGCGGCACCTTGTGTTGGATAATGTGTTTGATGGCTAGGATCCTACAACCCTACACCAAGAAACTAAGGCAACGAAGCAGCACTACATTTTAGGGTCTGCTGGTAAGACTGAAAGACCTTCGCCGTTTGCCCGTTTAGAGCCTAGACTCTGCCTATAGGCTCAAGACGGAGAAGTAGCGGGGTGCTTGTTGAAAGGCGAGAAGGATGCAAAGCGAGATAGCGGGGCCCGACGACACTGTGATGGTGCACACGAGATCTTCCCCGATGTTCTGGGGCCAAGCAGTCATGTTCTCAAAGATGTAGAACATTCCCAGGATTCCAGCCAGAAGAGTTAAGAAGCGAGAGTTCAGGAATGCCCTGGCATGTTTCGTGCTCGGAAACCAACTGCAACAATGCAAAAGGCTTCAAGCCTTATTTGAGCTTCAGAGTACTATGCTGTATTACTTGATCTTGGACGGGGCCCTTAGAGGAACCATTGCTCTTTATGCAAGGAAGCACCTGCTTTTCTCCCTGTTGCTTCGCCGCCCATTTAGACATTCTTCTGAGCCGGGAGCCATGTCAGTTTTTTCTCTTAGATTCCTGAAACCTTCATTTGGTCCGAGGGACCCTAAACCCTGAAGCAGGGATTTAGAGGTTTTTTTGGGTTGGGGCTTTGCACTCAGAAATCGCAGGGTGTGCGGCGGGCCGGCAAGATGCAGGCAGACGCCGCCGACTGTGCCGAACCTCGGCTGACCCAGAGCTTCCAAAATCCTTAGTCGAGAAATATGTGTGTGTATATATATATATATATCATCATATTGGGAATCTCACTGCAATTTGAGGTATATCCCTGGGATTAAGGGATAGTGGAAGATTTGGGTAAGAATAACTTTAACAAAACCCTGCTTGAAGCTTCCTCCAACCTAGAAATTTCGAGGCCCAATCAAGTGCTTAGGCCCATGCAGAACGAGCCGGGTAGGAAGTCCTTCGAAGCCAGCCAACTTCGCTGCTCGCCGACTGATATAACTAGGAGGCGTCTCTGAGTGGCAGGATTTAGGTCAATGGTCGTTACAAGTTGAAAGTGAGGTGCTAGACTATAGAGATTGACAGACAGATGGGGGGGGGTTAGGCCCTGAGTGGACCTCCTGTTCTCCAGACCCCTCAGAAGGATCTAGAAAGTAGAACCCCGAATTCGAGGAACCCCTCCCCCCCCCCTCCCTCCCCCTACCTAAGGGATCTACGTTCTAGATCCTTCCGGGTGTCTGGGTCAGGAAGACAACGAGGATCCGAACTGGCCAAGGCCAAATCGAGGCATCCTGGCATTCTCGCCATGGCCGATGGTCTCCATGTAGTTCCTTCGTTGGGGTTTAGGGTTCAGAGGTTCCGAAATCTACCATTGGTCAAAACAAGCAAAGGAACTACAACGGGACTAATTACAGGTAAACCTTAAACGCCAATTATTGCAATGGCTGCAGGTTTGGGGTCTACAAGGTTGTGCTGATTCAGTTTCGGGTCAGATTCCTTTATGCGTTGTTTAGGGTTGGTGTTCAGAGCTTCTGGATGAACTTGAGACTTGAGTGCGTGTGTGTGTGTGTGTGTGTGTGTGTTTTTTTTGGTGGCTTGTTGAGTTCTGGGCCAGTATTCCGGGTTCTTACAGTTTCAGTTTGGGGAGTGGGTCTGAGCACAGGCTGGGTTGGGAGTCAAGTATAGGGTTCTATAGTAGGGTCCCCTTTAAAGAGTACTAGAGGTTCTGTCTGGGCAGCCCTGAACCAACAAACCGTCGTGTGGCTCAGGGGTTCGAGGGATTTTCCAGCAACGATGTCGATTTGGGATTCTACCCTACCTTAAGAACCCAAAAACTACTTTTTTGTAGGGTCCCTATAAATTCCATATTAGGGTTTATAATAAGAACCTACAAACATAAAGGGGTTTGGGGTTCTTAAGGTACACCCCTACAGCCCCAAACCCTCCACCACTACCACCCCCAAAACCCAATTAAGATAGGGGCTTAATAATTCCAATAGGGTTTTGGGGCTCCTTATTATAATAGTTCTAGTATAAGATACCCTCAAACCCTATTGTAATCTCTAAGCTGTTAACCCTTACCCCAAAACTCCAAAGCACAAATGCTAGGGTTTATTGGGTTTAGGGGCAACCCATGGCAAGCCCTGAAGCCCCAAACAGCCCTAAGCCTTGCGAATTGAACCTGTGAACTCAACCCTTCCTCCCTCCCAACACAGACAATCTTGGGTTCAAGGTTTAGGGTTTAGGGCTTAGGGTTTACGGGAGTAGGGTGAGCCCGTGCAGAGGCTGCTGTCCGGGTTTCCAGAAATGTGGCCCGTACCAATTCCGCTGGGGTGCCTTGGCTTCTGGATACCGTCCAGGAGACTTCCGGTGTGTCAGCCTGTGGCCGATTTTAAGTTTCGAGGTCTTAGGGTGCAGGTTCAGGATGTTAGGATACAGACGATTTAGTTGGCTCTTTGGTACGGACAGTACGGACTTCGGTGAAGGTTGCTCGAGTTGTTCATGGATACTTGCAGAGCACTTTCAACCCTACT